TAATCAGTATACCAAGGGCTAGTTACCTCCACAGGGATCATCAAATAAGGAGGTTGCATGGTTAAAAATACCAAAACATTTTGAAAAGAGAAAGTACTTTTCACTGGCAAACAATTGGTCAAAATACATCCTGTACAGGTAGCCTTATACATAGTTCCATTTGACAAGCGTATTGGAGTTATTTGTCCTGGTCCTACAACCAATAAAAAAAGACGAGGAACACAAGCTTTAACATTCAATATAGTACTGTGTCCATGAAATTGTGACCAGGTTGAAGTATTAGTTTCCACTGGGGCAAAAGCTGCAATCAATTTCCAAGACGTCTACGGCATCGTTTCCGTCGATTCTCCAGCGTCATCCATGCCATCTGGGTCTGTAGTCGGGGCATCTGTGACGTATCTTGACGGGACCCACCTCGGAATTTCCTCATCCTGTGGAAAAACACAAACATAACCTCGGCCTTTTCTTAAGACCGGGTCAGGGCCTCTCCATAGGCCGGTTACCAAGTCTTTCCACTTCACCATTTGAGAGGGAGGCCCATCAGGAGACCAGTGTCTCTCTGCCGCTGACCTACCATCAAGGTCTACATTTAAAAAATTTAAAACAAATAAAGCCAAGGATAAGTGCATATGTGGTGAATATTTTACTTGTCCCCTAAATATCTCCCCCTCTTTTAATTTTTTAAGCATGGTCTTTAAAGTAGAATGACATCGCTCAATTATGGCTTGGCCTTGGGAATTATAAGGGATTCCTGTAGAATGAGAAATGTTAAAAATGCTGCAAAAGGTGGCAAAAGCTGAAGAAGTATATGCAGTTCCATTATCAGTTTTCAATTTCTTTGGTTTACCTACTAAAGAAAAGGCAGTGAGTAAATGATCTTGAACATTTTTAAATGCTTCTCCTGAATGAGCAGTAGCTATAATGAAACCAGAATATGTATCAACTGAAACATGTACATATTTTAATTTGCCAAAAGAAGAATAAATAGTCACATCCATTTGCTATAAATTATTAGGTAACAACTCTTGAGGGTTAATTCCCATTATAGGGACAGGATGATGAATAGGACAAGTGGAACAGTTTTTAACAATTTGCCTAGCCTATTCCCTTGTAAGCTTAAATTGCTTTCGTAAGGCTAAAGCATTTTGATGAAAATATTCATGACTTCGTTGTGCTGCTTGCACAGGATCTGCAAAATAAATATGTGTAAGGTTATCAGCCTCAGCATTTCCTTGTACCAAAGGGCCTGGAAGATTGGTATGAGCTTGAATATGCTCAATAAAAATAGGATGCTGACGAGTATCTAACAAGTTTTGTACTTCTTTGAATAGATGAAAAAGTTCTTCATCTGAAGTGATTATATAAGCTTGTGGTAACATTCGCACTGCTGAGACAGTATAATTACTGTTTGAATAAATATTTAATGGATAAGGATATTGTTGCAATGCTAACGAGACTGCTTTCAGTTCTGCTCTTTGAACAGAGGTGGTTTCATATTTATATACCGTGGTGGCATTGCAAGTAAAGCAGAGAAAGAGAAAGAGAGAGAGAGAGAGAAAAGAAAATTTGGATGTAGGGAACTTCCGGCCATTTGCTTATGCGGTGACAAAAAATCAAGCCAGCCCCAGGGCATGGAAGAGATACCTCAGGGGAGTAATTGGGTCTGGTTTGGAGTTCTGGTTATCTATGATCTCTTAAATTCCAAGGGAAAAATTTTGTCAAAGGACCAGCGTCCTAGCCGCTTCTGACAGAATCCCGGAACTGGAGACTGGAAGAAAACAGTGGACGTCTCCGCTGTAGTCTTCAGCCTCAGAACGGAAAGACAGGAAATCTAAGGCGTCCCTTAAGATGCCTCTGTCTTTCTACCGGGAGAGTTTCAAACGCGGCGCCAGCGATTTCCGGAAATGAAAGGGACAAAGACTCTGGAATAGGGGGCCGGGACTTGGGATCTAGGTGCCCAGGATCTGATGTGAAGACAAGCCTCGAGGATCTTTTTGATGCCTGATCGTCCGCCCTTCTTACGAAGGTTTGAGTGGGTCTTTGGCTGAGGTGTCTTCGTATAAACCCCGGAGCTGAGGGCTGAGCCACACCGTTATGCCGATCCGACCTCACACGGAATGGGACTTCAGGCCTATCTAAAATCCAAATTAAACTCACTGGTGTTGGATGGTGGCGGCTGGAGGTTCCTGGTCCGTGAAAAGGAGGAGGAGAGGGAGAAGGGTGGGGGGAGAGGGAGCAATAGGAGCAATAGGAATAACTACTGTGGATCTAACACTTCTCTAATTTGTTCCCAAAGGCAGAGGAACCTCTAAGAGATATTTGATTTTTAAACCCCTGACCAACTTTTCTCCAAGCTTCTAAATTCACCATACCCTCTTCTGGAAACCAAGGGCACAGCTCCCGAACTGTGGAAAAAAAGGCTTTAAGAGCAGACTTAGAAACTGAAATACCTTTATCTTTTAACAAAGCTTGTAAAGAAACTAAAAAGTAAGTACGTTCAACAGACTGTTCTTGCCCCATAATTTTTTACTCCCGTCGTTCCTCACCTCATTAGGTGAGGTTCTCTTACCTGATTATTTATTTTCAATATGTCTCCTGATTATCAAATTCCTTGTGGCCACCTTCCTTCACTTTTGAGTCCCTGTTGGGGCGCCAAATGTCGCGGCCAGCACAACAATTCTAGAACAGGGGGTAAGAGAATGAGTTAAAAATAAGAGAAAAGTAAAAGGATGGGAACGGGAGGGACACTCAGAGCCATTGCAAAGCAGTGTCAAATTTTATTATGATTCTTCTCAAGTTTATATACATATCTAAAGGCATTATAACATCACAACAATTACATCTACAAAGGATCACACGTCAATGCTTCATTTATGATTCTGGGAACAAGGTTACCTTAACCTCTTCTAGTTCCCTATTCTAATTCTCCATGTTCTTTAGACTAAAATGCACACCTGATTACAGGTATGGGGTAAATGTTTTATGGTTTAATTAAACAGCACATAGCAGCCCTCGTGACGCATGTCACACTTTCAAACAATGGGGAAGTGGGCTCGATGTGTGCTAAGAGCAGTGTTCAACCTGTTTACGGAGCCTCTCTCCATTAGTCACTCACCACACTTACAAACAATGGGGAAGTGGGCTCAGTGTGTGCTAAGAGCAGTGCTCAACCTGTTTAGGGAGCCTCGCTCCATTAGTCACTCACCACTACACACCTCCAGTAGGTATGGCGCTCTCCACAGGTTTCCAAGGCAGTATCACTACGAAAGTAGATTGCCCCATCTTCCTTCCGAGGAGTGGCTGGTGGGTTTGCCAGCCTTCTGGTTAGCAGGCTTTTTAGAAGGATTAAATATTCATATTGTGAGACAGCCTAGCATAAACAATAAACATGTGAGCTACACAACCAAAATGATCAAAGTTCCTTTCCCTTTCCTGAAGATAGAAAATTATAACTCCAGAGATAACATATGCACATGTGAGATAGTGGATAAACCATGTAAGGAACTATTTTTAAGTGCTAAAATTAGAAGTTGAAATAATAATATTGTGAGAGATCAGGGAAACTGGGGGGTTAGAATATCTTAGGACTAATGTTGTTAATGGGATTATTATGTATGGGCAAGAATTAGATGGACTTTTTGGATAGAGGAAACAAGTAGGAGCACATTTAATAAAATTAATAATTGCTCATGTTCAATGCTTATTTATTATATGCCAGGATTTACATCCCACTTCCTACCCAGGGTAAAGGTTGAAGTATTTCATTCTGAGGAAACTTGTCAGGCCAAGATAAAAGACCTATAGATGCCAAAGTTTGCTAGTCCTCTAATGAACCAGCCAAATCCTTGTAAATTCATCCTTCAGTGAAATGCATTATTCATCATCCTTACACACTAATACTTTACCTTCAATGAGCATATTAATAACTCACGCTTAACTGTGAATCCAGAGTAAAGGATCATTTTGTGGATATGCTGATATAGCAAAAGAAGGATTATCCTTCTTTGTCCTCTGAGCTTAATGTTTGTTGCCTTTCCATTAGTGGCTAAGAGAGAAAAATAGTATTAAATTTGTCACTACAAAACCCTAAGAGTCTATTTTTCATTTCCAAAAAGCAATTTTCCCACTTTTTATCCTGTCTTTAGACAGAGTTCTGCTCTTCTAACATCAAATGGTCCTTTAGCAGTTATTTGAAAAAGAAGAATTAAATAAAACTATTACTTCTTGCAAGAAAAAAAAAAAAATCTAACAACAGTTTATTTAAAGAGCTCTTAATAGGTTTTAAGATAACAATTTAAATGCCTAGTGAGTAATTTGCTTACAAGATACTTCCTAAAAGATCATCTCTCTCTGATAACAGTTTTTTTTTTTCTTAATCCCTGCTAATCTTCATGTTTTTGTCTTTTCTCATCTCCTCTTTTCTGTAATCATCCTTCTCTACCTTGCAGAGAATTTCCTTCATTTTTTTGTTTACATTATGCTTGCCCTGAATCAGACTTTTTCACATCACTAGTATTTCTAGCTTACCCCTCCCTAAATTACTGTCATATTTATATCCCCATATTTTATGTTCTTAGTATTTGCAATTTCATTATCAATACCTAATATAATAGCTTTTTTTTCTCTCTCCCAGAATAGAGTGCATACTGAAATTGTATTTTTGTATCTTTCAGATGAGAAGATTGTACCAGACGCCAAGAAGTCAACAGTAGAGCAGCAGGACATTTCTAAAGAAGGTTCATCCCAAAGAATATAGATGGAAGAACTTACAAAGAGAAAGTCTATATTAGGAGAAATGTGGAACTCTAAAGGCCAGTTTAAGAATCACCAGCCAAATCAGAAGAAATATCTGGGGCAAGAGATAGTCACCTGCATGATACTTCCTCCTGAAGAAAGAGGTACAGAATCTAATGCATTTGGAAAACATTTCAATATACAATCAATACTTGATGTGGAGTGGAGTGATTCTATAAAACACAATGCTTATAAGTATAGTATAGATGGAAACAGTTTCAAACAAATTTCAGATACAATTATACAAAAGAAACAAGAAGGGAAAACCTTGTCAATGTAGTAAATGTGGGAAAACCTTCAGAGACCACACTATACTTGTTCAACATCAAAAAACTCATACTGGAGAGTGGTCCTATAAATGTAGAATGTGGAAAAGGATTTAACAAGAGTTCCCACCTGGCAAACCATCAGAAGACTCATACTGGAGAAAAAAACTACAAATGTAATGATTGTGGGAAGGCCTTCCATTATTATTCAGTCCTTAACCAACATCAGAGAATTCATAGTGGAGAGAAACCTTATGAGTGCACTGAATGTGGCAAGACATTTGGTCGTACTACATATCTTACTCAGCATCAAAGAATTCACAGTGGTGAGAAACCCTATAAATGCCTTGAATGTGGAAAGGCATTTAGCCAGAACACACATCTTACTCTACATCAGAGAATTCATACTGGAGAAAGACCTTGTGAATGCGATAAATGTGGTAAAGCCTTCAATCAGAGTGCAATCAGAGTGCCCATCTTACTTAACATCAAAGGATTCATACAGGAGAAAAATCTTATGAATATAATGAATGTGGGAAGGGCTTCAGTGATCATTCAGCTCTTATTTGACATTATATCATCCATACTGGAGATAAACCCTGTGAATGTAATGATTGTGGGGAAGCTTTCAGTTACTTTTCAGACATTATTCAACACCAGAGAATGCATGTTGTTGTTGTTAGGTGCCGTTGAGTCATTTCCAACTCATAGCGACCCCATGCACAGCAGAACAAAACACTGCCCGATCTCATGCCAGCTCCACGATTCCTGCTATACTTGAGCCCATCATTGCAGACACTGTGTCAATCCATCTCATTGAAGGCCTCCCCCTCTTTCGTCGACCCTCCACCGTACCAAACATGACATCCTTCTCCAAGGAATGGTCCCTTCTGACAACATGACCAAAATAGGTGAGACGAACTCTGGCCATTCTCACTTCCAAGGAGCATTTTGGGTGCACTTCCTCCAGGACAGATCTGTTAGTTCCTGTAGCAGTCCATGGTACTTTCAGCATTCTTCATCAGCACCACAACTCAAAAGCATCAACTCTTCTATGGTCTTCCTTATTCATTGTCCAGCTCTCACATGCATACGAGGTGACTGGAAGTATCATGCCTTGTGTCAAACACACCTTAGTCCTCAAGGAGACATCCTTGCTCCTCAGTACTTGAAATAGTTCCTTCGTGGTTGACTTTTCCAGTGAGAATGCATAATGGAGAGAAACCATACAAATGCAGTATATGTGGAAATGCCTTTAGTGATTGTTCAGCCCTTGTACAACATCAAAGAACTCACACTGCAGAGAAGCCCTATGAGTCTAATGAATGTGGGAAAGCCTTTGGTAACTACTCAGCTCTTATTCAACATTAAAGAATTCATACTGGAGAAAAGCCCTATGAATGTAAGGAATGTGGAAAGCCTCCAGCAGAAGCACATACCTTACTCAAAATCGGTGAAATCATGCAGGAGAAAAAACATAAATGCAAAGAATGTGAGAAAACATTCAGCCAGAGTTCATTCCTTACACAACATATGAGACTTCATACTGGAGAAAAGCCCTACAAAAGTAATGAATGTGGGAAAGCTTTTAGTGATTACTCAGGGCATATTAAGTATAAGAGAACTCACACTGGAGAGAAGCCCTATGAATGTAATGACTGTGGGAAAACTTTCAGTTTCTGTTCAGCCCTTGTTCAACATAAGATAATTTATACTGGAGAGAAGCCCTATAACTGTAATGACTGTGGAACAGCCTTTTGTGATCACTCAGTACTTATTCATCATCAGAGAACTCACACTGGAGAGAGACCCTATAAATGTGGAAAAGCATTCAGTCAGAGTACAAACCTCACAAATCACCAGAAAACTCATACTTGTGAAAAATCCTCTAAGAGATGAATGTGGAAAAGCTTTTAGTTACTGCTCAGGCCTTATTCAACATCAGATCATTTATACTGGTGAGAAACCTTATGAATGCAGTAAATGTGGCAAAGCCTTCAGCTGGAGGACAGATCTTAGTAAACATCATAAAACTCATACTGAAGAGAAACCCTATAAATGTAATGAATGTGGGAAAGCTTTTAGCCAAAGCACTTATCTTACAAAACACCAGAACATTCACAGTGGAGAGGAATCAAATACACATGATGGATGTGTGAAAACCTGTAGATAAAACTACTCTGTTCAACATGAAAACCTCACACTGAGACAGAATCCTCTGAGTACGCTGGGAGTTTGGTTAGTATGGAGACCCTTCCCAGGAAAACAGGTAGACCATGCAAACTTTGAATAACCTATGCCAGTCCTATGTTTCTAAGTTTTAGAAGTCCTGGGTTATTTTATCACCTCTGCCACTAACTAGGCCTTTTTACTTGGGATAAATCACTTTACATCTCTAAACCTTAAGTTCCTTACCTGAAAATTGGGAGGCCTGATTAGTTGAACTCTAAGAACTACATTTATTTTATCTACTACTATGCAGGTTTTTATAGATATACTTCAAAATTGTGACTTATTTATTGTAAATTGGATATGAATCACAATCATGAGGATATATTAATCATTAAGGATTAAATTAAAATGTTACATATGCTATTTATTGCCCCTGCATTGGTTCCCCAAAATTCAACATGTCATGAATATTGAAGAAAATTAAGAAATTAAATCTAAAAGTTCTATGAATAGAAGGAAGTTTGGGATCTTTTTATGATTCAAAATATGGTTTTGGATAAACCTCAGATTAAAGGTAGGTGGATAAAGGCTAGATAATCTAACTTTCATTCAAACCTAATCTTTCAATAAAAACCTAAGTTGAATATGGTTGCCATCATGTCCCAGATGAAAAGGAACTAGACAACAAACATGAATCAAGCAGATGACCAAGAAAAGAAATTGGAAAGTGCATTTGTTATTTCAACATCTATATATATAATGGGCATGTGAATGAGAATAAATTTTGAGATTAAGTATGTCTAAAAAGTCTGTTGTCTGACTTTTTTCTCTGATTACAGGGTCAATGGAATATGAAATATTAAATACAAATAAATATGAAGATTTATTTCAGATATCTATTAAATTGGTAATGGCAGGAAAAAGCACTTGATATGGAACTTATCCTGTGTATGGTTTTGGAGACTAGTTCAGACTTACTAATTCTGGAGTTCATTTTGGTGCCCAAGAAGACTGCTCTCCCATAAGGGTAAATTAAGTTGTTGGTAAATTAAGATGGACTTGTTACACAAAAGGCACTCTGCTGGCATAGTGATTAAAGCGCTTGGCTGCAAACTGAAAAGTTGGCAGTTTGAATCCACCAGCTGCTCCATGGGAGAAAGATGTAACAGTTTGCTTCTGTAAAGATTACAGCCTTAAAAATTCTATGGGGCAGATCTACTCTGTCCTTTAGGGTCACGATGAGTTATTTATTTTGCTACACAAGTCTTAGAAAAACCTGAACTTATGGCAGTGGTGTTTAAGTGGTGTTTAGAAGTGTTTCTATACATATACTGTACTAACAATATTCAGCTTGAAAGTGTAATGGAAAATAGATTTTATTCATAATAACTATACCCATGGGAGCTCAGGTGGCATAGTGCCTAAGGCATTTGATTGCTAACAAGAAGGCTGGTGGTTCAAACCCACCAGCCACGCCTCAGAAGGAAGATGGGGAAATCTACTTCTGTAGTGATACCGCCTTGGAAACCCAAGGAGGGGTCACTATGAATCAGATCCAACTCAACAGCAGTGTTTGAGATACCCATACCTGTCGAGTTGATTCTGGCTCATAATGACCCTATAGGATAGAATAGAACTGCCCCACAGGATTCCCACAGCTGTTAATCTTTACAGAAGCAAACTGCCATATATTTCCCCAGTGGAATTGTGGGTTTGAACCACTGACCTTTCAGTTGGCAGCTAAGCCTTAACCACTGCACTACCAGGATAAATCTGTATGGAAGTAGATTGCCCCATCTTCCTTCCACAGAGCAAGTGATGGGCTTGAACCACCAACTTTGTGGTTGGCAGTCAAATAAATGCCTTATACACTATACCACCAGAGCTCCTTCCTACTAATTATAGAACTATCAGATATTTAGGCATGATATTAGTAAGTAATATGTAAGACAAAAATGAAAAGAATCATAAAGGATTTTTATGGTAACAAAATGTTGATCCAAACATGAAGAATCACACACTTCACATGGGAAGAATCAATAAAACTGTGACATGATCATATTAATTTGTAAACTTAATGCCAGGTGATTCTAAATTTAATATGAAAGAAAAAAAAAGAATAACCAAATTATTTTAAGAATATATATGCTGTTGGGGGAGGGGTTATTCAAAACCAATTGATAGGTCAATAAAGCAGAAATGAAAACCATGAAACAGGTCCATGATGTAAAAGAATTTAGCATCTGACATTCCCAATTAAGAATGATTGGATAGTTCAGTAACAGTTTCAGACAAGTAGCTAAGCTTTATAGGAAAAAATTTCTTAAATAGATTTAGAATTAAATGTAAAAATTAACTGTAAGAAAAGTAAATAGAGGTAAGTATTTTTTATGATCTTGGACTGTGCAAACTTTCTGAAATAGTCACACACACACACAACATATATCTATCACTACAAAAAAAAAAAAAAAAAAACCCTTCTGTATGTTTCAAAATACCTTAAAATCTTAAAAGCAAATGATATGAGAAAAAATATTTTTGTGGTATGTATTATGGGAAATTAGTTAATATCCATAATATATAAGAGATTTTGTTAAATAATTAAAATTTTTCCTGTAGAAAAATGAACCAAAGATTTGACAAAAAAAAGAAGAAATACAAGTGGCCAATAAAATGTGAAACAATATTTGGCTCACTTGTTTTCAGAAAATTGTAGATTAGGACAACTATTAGATATACTTTTTGTTTCAACAAATTGGCAACTATTAGATTTGGAGGATAAGTACTCTAACAGTACCTTGAACACATTTAACTCATAGCCTATTTATTGCTAACAGTATTTCTGGAGGGCAAGTTGGTAATATGTAGCATAAAATTTAGAGAAATATATTTGTTTAGTTAATCTACCAAATATAGTTGTAGGAGTTTATTCAAAAGCAGCAGTTATAGATATGCACAAAATCTTACTTACAAGGATTTTTATTTAACATTATTGTAAGGATTAAAAACAGGGAACAACTAATTTAGGTCCATAATAGAAAATTGGTTAGATAACCTTGAATATTATATAACTATACAAACTTTTAAAAATTTCAATAAATGTGGAAATTAAGTGAAAAATACATGAAAAAATAGTAAATACAGTATGTGTATATGCGTAGGAAAAAGCTGAAATTATATACAGCAAAATGTAGGAGGTTCTGGTGATAGAGTTGATTTTATTTTTCCAAATTTTCTACAATACCTATATATTGTTTTGGAATTAAAAAAAATAGAGGACTAAGCAAATTTAATGGTCTTAGAATACAAGGATACTTTAATGAATTATTCATTATGAGCACAAGTATAAGATTGTCATAATGCTGTCCACCTAATGCCTATCGCTATTTTAGCCTGAGAAAATTAAATCACTTCGTACACATTCACCATTGAGCAAACTATCAGTCACCTCATTTACTAAGATAAGTTTCAGTGAGGCAGTTCACACTTGCGAATGCTTACTTCCCAACACTTTGACTAGTGCTGTGATTGGGATTCACTGCATTATCAGATTAAAGGTGACAAATGATTATCTCAAGAGTCAGGAAAGTAGTCTGGAGCAAGATAGCAGTGTAACCAGTTGTATGCTCCTGTCTCTGCACAGAGACACTCAAAAAACTAACAGAAGCCATCAGAAGCAACTTGGTCAGAAATCTGAAATCTAGTCACAGGATTACAGCAACTAAGAGAACGCTGCAGAATCAAACAAAAAGACAATACCTAAATGGTAGGAAAACTGGTTTTCTAGTTATCTGCACCGCACCCTGCCTGGCTTAGCTTGGCTATCTTAAAGCAGTAGTGGCAGCTTGCACTAACAGAGAGGGAGCCTACCTGGAGCTGATGAAATCAATTTTATTTGCAAATTGTGTCTGTTCTAACTTGGCTGGAGGCTGTCTGAAAAACCAAAGCGAGGTATTCATCTTAGATTGGCTTGTTCCAGAGCTCACACAGGGCTGAGAGGCCACAAGCAGTGTCTGAAGGCTATACTCACTGGCAGCCTCTTGAGGTTAAAGAGCAATTAAGGTATACGATATGTGCCTAAAGACTGAAAGGAGAAGCCAGGGAGAAAGTTTCTCTTAGATTTTATGCTTTCAAAAGCATTATGAATACATGGGAATTGAGAAAGCCACCTTCATGCCCAGGAAAAAAACACAAGCTCGGAAATTACCTGAAAAAATTTTATGCTTTAGAGTGTGGTGGAACCCCTGAGACTATGCCCCCTAACTGCCCCTTCAGGTCTGAAATTGAACCCACTCCTGTGGCTTCCAGCCAAACTAAAGACAGACATATGAGCTGAACATTTACATTAGGTAGATACACTCCTTGGAGAGATCGATCGTGGGAGAATAGAAGGGCTGTGTATGTACAGGGAGGCAGCGCAGCGGGCAGGAGTGCATGGGAGGGAATGCCACAACTAAGAGGTAACTATGGGGATGAAGTGGAAGGGGAACTATTACCTTGTCAATGTCATAAGACGAAGTGTATGTGAGCTGCTGTATGGAAAGTGAATTTGCTCTGTAAACTTTCATGCAAATCACAATAATAAATTTACAAAACAAAAAAATAAATATATTAAACATAATTGCCACCTCCCCACCAAAAAAAAAAAAATTCTACACTTTCACCCTCAGCTGATCCCTAGGCTCAGTGCAAAACCAAAAACCAAACTCGCTGCTATCGAGTCAGTTCTGACTCACAGAGACCCCCTTTGGGTTTCTGAAGCAGTAAATCTTTACGGAAGTAGGTTGCCCCATCTTCCTTCTGCAGAGTGGCTAGTAGGTTTGAACTGACAACCTTCTGGTTAGAAATCAAATGCTTTAGGCGTTGTCTCACCACCTGGCTAAATGTTAAAGGAGGACTTCAGCACAGACCCAATTTGCTAAGATTAGAGGAGAGATTTTATTATTTACTTGTTATTTATTTTTTGTTCCCTGGCATTCAAGGAAATCTTTTGAAACATTAGCTGAACATAAAGGAGCAAAGAATTCATTAGAATTCTACATATGTCCTGTAAGGCAGTCTTTGCAAAATTGTTATGGGAGGTGTTATGAATTGCATTGTATGCCCCAAAATATGTGCTGTAAGTCCTTTCCCTTGTTGTTGTTAGGTGCCATCAAGTTGGCTCCTACTCACAGCAACCCTCTGTACAACAGAATGAAACATTGCCTGGTCCTGTGGCAGCCTCACAATCCTTGCTATACCTGAGCCCATTGTTGCAGCCACTGTGTCAATCCATCTCGTTGAGGGCCTTCCCCTTTTTTGTTGACCCTCCACTTTACCAAGCATCATATCCTTCTCCAGGGAATGGTTCCTTCTGACAACATGACCAAAGTAGGTATACCTGTGGATGTAATCCCCTTTCGAAATAGGAGTTTCTTTGTTATGTTAAAAAGGCCTTGTCAGTATGTTGTTGTTGTTGTTGTTATGTGCCATCGAGTCAGCCCTGACTCATAGCGACCCCTCCTTGGGTTTCCGAGGCAGTATCACTACGGAAGTAGGATTGCCCAACCTTCCTTCCGAGGAGTGGCTGGTGGGTTTGAACCGCCAGCCGTCTGGTTAGCAGGCAAGTGGTGATGCTTTAAAAGGAAATGGTGAAGATGTCATTGGATATTGTAGGGAAGGTGATGCTTTTTATGCAGTCAAAAGGACTTGTCTGAATTATGTTAGAATGTCTTGTGGAAGGTAGAACTTTGAAGTGATAAACTTGGATATTTGGCTGAGGAGATTTTGAAGTAAAATCTTGAAGGGGCCTACTGATTTCTCCTTGCCACTTATGGTAAAATGCAAGAGGAAAGAGATGGGCTTAAAACTGAACTGAGCATAAAAGTAAACTATCAAACACAATTGTAAATGCACAAACAGCAGAAGACAAAGTAGATAACTGGGACCTCA